GTTGTATAGACTTTGATATTACTGGTTTTATGACTGAGATGTACCTAAATGACTGAAGTTTTTAACAGATTACCCATTGTAAATGAAGTTTTCTTGTTTTTCACCATTTGTAAGATTGAATAAAATTGGGAGATGTTTTAAGCAAACTTTGTATCGCACTGTGATGACTGAAACACAACTTAACACTAGAAACCATTAATGGAAGGGGGTCATGGGTGCAATGTTTCAACAGCATTTCTCTGTAAATACCTAGGATTCACTTTATTCAAATCCAAATGTACATCACAAACTGGTTATAGGTGTTAAGTTTATTATGTGTGAACAGTACGGAATAAAGGACTTAAGTTTGAATCGGCACCCTGTGCTCTTTTACTGTCCCTTTTGTTACATGTGACTGAGAGATTAAAGCGTTTTAGGGGGTGGTGAATAAATACACACACTGGTTCTTTGCTCCACAGCACCCTCGTGTGTTTTATTTAAAAAATAATCCTGATCCCATCAATCTGCATTTACACAACGATTTTGAGCTGTATGTGGAACACTCCATATTTTATTATAAAGATGGTGTAACGGCTCGCATTATTGAAGATGAATTAGCAGACCGTGGTGTGTTATCACATTAGCAAGAAGGAAAAAAAATAATCAATGCAACGTCTAAAGAAAATCTCTGAAGGTAAATCCATTTTCAAAATTTAAAAAATCCCCTTACATTAAATGAAGTAGAAGAAAAAGTGGAGACCAAACAGCCGCTACACTACAAAGGCCCCAGTAAGAACCGAAAGTGTGGATCATTTTCACATCGTCTAACATTCACTAAAGCAGCCTCATTTTGCTTTGATAATAAAACAATATGTTCAGCCACCCTCCTGTATTTTTAGGAAATTGCTGACTTACTCGGGGAAACGGCCGCAACGTAATTATGTGACAGGGTTTGACGTAAGTTGTTTTTTGATTCGACGACAGAGTTCGAGGTTTTGCAACCTAAATGATAGTGTTTGAAACAAACATTTTTACAGCGTCTGGAGTTTAAGTATCTGAAACAAACAGCTCTGATGCCTGAGCTCGTTGGGATGTTGGGGATTCTTTTGACAAAACCCCAAAGCCCATGAAAAAAAACACACACCACCAGTGTCTTTTTAAGAGTAGAAAAGGTTTGTTGCAAACAATCTGTGGGATGTCTTAGCCACCCACAGCTGTGCACATTCTGAATTCAAACCGTCAATTTCCTTTTACCCAGTTTAACCCTCTGTACTGCTGCTTTGGCCACCGCAACATGGGTGTGTTTTACACATCATTTTTCTATTTCTGCTTCCTGGTCTGCATGTCCATTTTGGCCCTTTTAGTGAGCCTCACGTGCAGCTCTAAACCATGCAGTATCCCATCATGCCACATACCACATACCACTCCCCGAGTCATGTCCTCTCTTAGCTTCTTTCAAACCAAAAAGTATATATACATGTATAAAAAACACATTAAAGGGAGAAATATTCCTTTAACAGCAGCAGATATTTTGGAGTATGGCTTGTGGAGTCAGTGCTGCATTTGTGTTCCTGTCTGTCCCACCTCATGCTCAGACCACAGGCCGTCTCAGAATGGCAGTCCCCTTGAGTGGTTTCCTGCAACCAGCTTCCCTCTCTCTCACCTAACCACCGTCCTGCTCTCTCTCTCTCCCTCTACCAGGGAAGATCAAACAGCTGCGTCCCTGCCAGAGAGGACCATCCCTGTCCCCCATCCCACAAGCCGACTATTTTCAGTACAGCCACACTCAGACCTGCACGGTGGAGTAGCTCTTGTAAAGTCAGGCGGCCAAGCATGGCCATCATGTGGGGAGAAGTTCAAACTTTATGGTCCTAGCTTCTATCCAGGGACATGAGGAGTGGACTAACTATCATTCAGTCGTGCATGCAGTTTGATGTTACATTATACGTCAACTACATTACATTTATTTGACTGCTAGAGTTACTGCTTACCTTGCAGATTTAAGGTCTTGTACATAAATCAAAGATCAGTCAACCAGTCGATAATGATAAGTCCTGGTGCTGACCGAATATGGAAGTTGGTCTGGTTGTTGAAGCGGTGTCAGGTCACTTTCCGAGTACTGCTGATGTACCCTTCAGTAAGGCCCTGAACTCCAAACAGCTCTGGTGCTCTCCCTGGGTAGCAGTGTGTAGCCGCCCCACTCTGACATCTCTCCACTGATGCATGTCCACAGGTCCTGTTTGTGCATGTGTGTGATTCGGGCCTTTGTGTGTGAGTAGCATGTCTCTCAATAACAGTGTAAACCTTGAATTTCCCTCAGGGATTAACAAAGTATGAAGAAAAAATTATAATGAATTCTTCCATTTAAAATACCATTGAATATGTTAAAGTTGGCTCAATGCATCTGGTACTATTTTTAATTTGCTTCATTCAGTTTCATCCCATTAAAATACCTTACATTATATTTCTTCATGTGAAAGAGGAACTTGCTTAAGGATTACTCGAACCTGGAATCTGTTGCGGAATGACATGAAACTCAAGAAGCTGGTGTCCTTAAATGTCTTTAAACCTAAAATGGAAGCCGATTCTATAGGATGTGGATGGCTTGAATGCTTGAACTGGCGACTCCCAGTTTTAACGCATAGATGGTTCTCTTTTAATGCAAATGTGAGTGTTTTGTAAATAGTACTCTGTCTCCCTCTGTGTCTTTGTTGCTGATTGTCTCTGCCAGGTCTCCCTTTGAAAAGAGGTTCTTTTCTAAGGTTAGCCTTAACCCAACCCTAATCCCTATGGGACCAAGCTGGTTAAATAAAGATTGAATAAAAAAAGATTGTGTTGATAGCCCTGGCTATGCAACAAATATTTTGAAGTCAACATTTTTTTACAGGACTTTCACTTTATTTGTGTCAGCCAGATTTATTAGCACTGTACCAGTATTTTTCTTATGGTTTATAAAACTTAAATATGGTGGTAAGCATGTATGGTATAATTGTGTATCTTGAAGTGTGGTATTTGTTTTCACAGCATCTTCTATGAAAACAAGTTTCATATTACAATCTTGTTAAACCTAAAGAGGTAAAGTGGCTGTTACTGTAATTTTTACTGATGATCAAACAAGTTTTTCCTAAATTTTTGATAACTAAATATTTAATTTAATGTTCATAATCTGCCTTTAATGTTAAAAAAGGTTCAAAGTCATTCTGAACACTTAATATTAATTAAAGTGTGATCATCACAGCAGTGCTGATATTCAGTACTACAGTAAAACCTCAATATGAATTTATTTCCAACAACAATTTTGTGTTGCTGTGTGGCATAATGAAGAGTGGGATGTTGTGAAGCAAAACAGAACAAAGACTGAAATGTGCAAATGATGGTTGTGATGAGTCCAGGTGGAATGAGAGAGAGAGAGAGAGAGAGAGAGAGAGAGAGAGAGAGAGCCAGAGCAACACTGGTGTTGTGCCTTTATGCGTTCAAAGCACCACGCCCAGATGCTCTAAATTGACCGAGCTGATTCCTCTGAGAAAAATGGAGACAGAAACCATTAGTAGAAGCCTGACTGTTGAAGGTGAAGCAGTGACCGTCACACTGCCTAAACTACCTACCAGCTGCTTTGAATTGTGTGCATTTTAATTTATTAGTCTGTTTCCATTAATCACACAATTAGTAAAATAAGAGTGTGTTGCAGTTGATATTGAGGAATCAGATCGCTCATTCTAGATGAAGAGTGTTTCTTCTAAATTGATCAACGTGAGTGGTACATGGGTAGTAAAAAGTCCCAGTGCAGTTAAACTAGATATCAGCATACTGTATACATAAAACACCTCTTGTCCAATCAAATTACCTGGTTTGACCAAATCGTTCTAACAAATCAGTTTGGAAATGTATCCTGAATGAAGTAAGTGTAATTTCTGAAATGTTAAAGCAGAAGAAGATGAAGATTGAGGGGAAATTCAATTTTACACTCTGATGTTGAACATGCTACACACACATAGGCTGAACTACACACACACATGCACAAACAGAACCAAATGGACATGCACTAATGGAGAGATGTTAGAGTGAGGGGGCTGCCCACAGCTCCTGTGCTGAGGGTTGTTGCCTTGTACCTCAGCAGTGCTCAGGAAGTGAACTGGCACCTCTACAGCTACCAGACCAATTTCCAGATTTGGTCTGCATTGGGACTTCAACCGGCGACCCCTCTGTTCCCAACCCAAGTCCCTACAGACTGAGCTACTGCTAACCTAAAAAGAAGCAACTAGCTGTTTCATACACAGTGCAGGGCTGAGCTAATGTAAATCATTGAATTGAATTGTGTATTGTTTTCACTTAGAGAGTTATATTTTGATTATGTTAATATTCTTAGAGTTTATTCTTGTAACAAGTAGCTTAAAGCTCTGTCCTGGTTTTAAACAGGCTAGGTTTTTTTCCCCATGACCAGATGGCGAGCTAAATCAACTTTAGCCAGATAAGTACTCCATCAATTACCACATTCTTACCAAGAGCGGTAGAATTAAACTGACCTTTTTCTTTTTCCTTATTTATTTATTTTATTTTGGAAAAATATTTTATGGACTGAACAAATACATAATTGAATGGACTGAACAAAGAACTGAGGAATGTTTATTTTCAAAGAACTTATTGAAATAACTGAAGAGTTGAGTATTTTCTAATTTAAAGTCCTGAGTTCTTATTAAATATTGTCATCGGTTTAATGTTTCCTTCTTTTTAAGTTGAGAGTTTTATGTTTTCATTTGTCTAATGATTAAATGTTTTTTCATCTTTATGCTAAATATTTTAAAGTTAAAGGTTTGCACCAAAGTGCTATACAGGAAGGCTAGTAGCAGGGTTTTAATCTAATTTTGTATCATATAGAGAAAATGGCAGCTAGCTAGGTAGAATAAAACCATACATAAATCAACCTTATTAAAGTTTAACATGAAAATAGATGAACACTATTTCAATAGATAGACAAAATACCATGGAAAAGCATGGAAAAAAAGCTCCTTACACAAAACATCAGTTTAGAAACCTTTATTTCGGTCATTATGCTTTACACGACATAATGCATGTTCGGGAATATAACCATGTTGTTGGTCGTTTGTGTTTGCATGACAGTATTTTGGTGACTGATTTCATTTTAATGGTCAATTTGACCATTACAATTTCACAATATTCAAGTCACATACAAGGATTAACAGTTACAACATGTTGCACAGAAAGTATTTGTGTACTTTTAATACGATTATTGGTCACCCAAACAAAAACAAGCTGGTACAAAAACAAAAAAAAAAACAGACAAACAATTAAGAATCACCAGTTGAATTCAGTATAAAAGAAACAGAGTGGAAAAAAAGTCAGGACACAACAGACATAACACCTCATTTCACATGCTGTCTCCTTTACAAAAGCTCACTGGTAACTTTGTGGATTGCTTCCCCCATCCCTGATCACCTGTTTCATAAATTAGTTTTCCTTCTTCTAAGCACCTATTTCTTGTAGTTTCAAGTCGCAATGCTACTATTCCTCAAATAAGGGTGAACTGCCTGTCTGCTTGGTTGAGGAAAAAATTAACAGGGAGTTTACTTTAGTTTGAGAAATAGATGGCAAATTTAGTTGGTTGGCTTTTGGGACGTTCACTATCAACGTATCACGTTGAAGCAATGAGGAACCCAGAGAAAGAGCAGTGGACATTCTCAGCTGCAAAGACGCCATTGGCCTCATCGTCGGGGATCTGGACGTAGACGGTGTCCTGCTCATCGAGCAAGAGAACAGCGCTACCGGACATCTGGTCCAGGAAGCCCTTGTTGTACTCATCATAAGTGAACATAACAGGCTGGCCATTCTTGTACAGAGCCACCAGGGCATGTGCTCCATTAACATGGATGCTGTAGGAGAAGTAGTAAACTCCAGGAATCTGGCAAGTGAAGATGCCGGACTCGGGGTCATAGTGATTCTCAGCATTGTACACGATCTGATCAAACTTAATGGGGCTGCCAGCAGCAGGGTAGGGGGTGGCCAGAGATGCAGTGAAAGCAGACATGGGAGACTTGACCATAACCTCAGCCATTTCCATTCCCATCCCCTTCCCCTTCTCAAACATAACCTCACCAGGAGGACCAGGGGGACCAGGAGGACCAGCTGGGCCAACTGCTCCATCACTACCAGGCTCACCAGACACACCAGGGGGACCCTGAGGCCCTGGGGGACCCTTAGCTGCCAAACCAGCTGGGCCAGAAGGGCCAGGAAGACCTGGGTGTCCCTTAAGACCAGGAGCACCAGAAGGACCTTGAGGCCCAGCAGGTCCTCTGGAACCTGGGGAACCATCAGAACCAGAGGCACCAGTCTCACCAACACGACCAGTATGACCCTTGGGTCCAGCAGGGCCTGGGATACCTGGGGCACCTGGGGTACCTGGAAGACCTCCATGACCTTTGTCACCTTGGGGTCCAGTAGCTCCTCTGGGTCCGGGAGGACCAGCTGCACCTGGATAACCCTGCTTGCCTGCGAAACCCTGTGCTCCCTGATCTCCCTTGTTTCCACTAGGTCCCGGAGCTCCGGTTGCACCTGTGTCACCTTTAGCACCTACAGGGCCAGATTCACCTTGGAAACCTCTTGGACCCTGAGCTCCAGCAGGACCAGTGGAGCCAGTTGCACCTGTAGCACCAGTATATCCTGTTGGACCTTGCTCACCCTTTGCCCCTGTGGCACCTGTGGCACCTGTAGCTCCCATCTCACCCTTCTCTCCATTTGCACCTGGCTTTCCATATCCGGGGACTCCAGGGGCACCAGTGGCTCCGGCTGGTCCCATGTGACCTTTAGGGCCAACTGGGCCAGGCATACCTGGGGCGCCATTATCACCTGATTTACCTGGAACACCTACACCTGGGGCACCAGTATGTCCCTTGGGTCCCATTGGTCCCGTGGGACCTGTGGCACCATCTCTACCTGGGCTACCTGACTTTCCTGCCTCACCGGGCATACCTTGTTTACCTGGCCTTCCTACTCCAGGCTCACCTGGTGCTCCAGTTGAGCCCATGGCCCCTTCAGGTCCTGTCTCACCCTGAGGTCCAGGAGCTCCCACCCCTCTATCACCCTTAGAACCTGGAAGTCCAGGGATACCTGGGTGTCCTTTCAGACCAGGCTCTCCTCTAGGTCCCATTGCTCCAGGCAGACCTGAAGGTCCAGGCCTGCCAGTTGCAGAGAGTCCAGCGGGTCCAGGGCTTCCAGAAGATCCAGGGGCTCCCCTAGGTCCCTGAAGGCCATGGGCTCCAGTGTCTCCCTTCTCACCAGGTGCTCCGTGGCTGCCGGGTTTTCCAGGTCCACCAGGAGATCCATTTTTGCCTGCAATGGAGCGGCCAGGTGCTCCGGGAGGTCCAGGGGGTCCTTGTGGTCCGGGTGCACCTTCAATACTCTCACCTCGGGGGCCAGGTGGGCCAGAAGGTCCCTCAGGGCCGGGTTCACCGGGTGGACCTGGCTCACCTGCTGTGAAGAGAAAATCATCATCCTTTAATCAAAACCAAACAAGCAAACAAAAATCCAGACACCACAGATACCTCCGATAATAATGTTGTCATGGGTACAGAGTGACATCCAAGAGCTCTTCTTCTAACCCATGTTGCATTTATCATATATTAATCTGTAAGAGTAACAGTGTTATACATTGCTATGATGTTGTACTTAGTAGTATCTCAGTATCTCAGTTTAGTATCTCTTCCTGATGCTGATGGATGAAATCATGAATGTATTGGCTAGCTCTCTGTGTATAAGTTTAATTTTCCACCATCACCAGTCAAACTCATGATGAATGACACTTTTACAAGTTATTTCTCTTCAATGTTTTTCATAAAGTTAAAAAAGATGGATGTATAATACTGTACGTAAATCATTAACCTACTGGTACCATTGACTGCACATACTTCTACACAGATTGGTCCTTATTCAATTATACTTTATTCCTGTAGAGGGCGTAGGTCTCATTCCATAAGTATTGAATTTAACTGCATGGATCTGATTCATAAGCAAATTATTCTTCAACTTTAGGACTTACTCTTTAACAACCTTTAAAACTCTGAAGCTTTAAAATAAATGCAAAAAAAGCTTCTTTGTAAAATACATAATATTTATCTTTTTCATTATTCAGTTCTAAATGTAATCTAATTAAACTTTTTTTTATAAATAAATACAAATATCTCCTAATGTATTTTAAATAAATAAATTGCACAGTAATATCATGAATAGAAAATGTATATACATAATCAAATAAACAAAATAAATTGCTCCTGTTATTTCCAATTACATCTATATTAAAAGGAAATAATCTTTAGAAAAGGTAAAGGGGTGATAATGGTTTTGAAGTTTGTTTAGAAATGTAAATCCTAGTTGGTGTTTTTTCTGTTTTGGATTTTGAAAATGTCAAAAAACTAGAAAATAGAAAAAGACCAAGTACTTTGAGCTTTCTGTTGTATCTTTCATCTTACACTGTCAAAAAGCTTTAAGAGACATCTTAAGACTTGTTGAGAACTGGTCTAAATAAGGATTCTTTTTTATTTGCTGCTTTAATGTGGTCACATGTGTTTGAGTGTAAAAGGCTCACTCCTTGGCGAACAGCAGTAGAGTTTGGATAAAGCCAAACAGATGTTTCTACTTTTGAGTGAAACAGGCACACCCAAAACAAACCACATTGCTGGGTGACTGCACTGTAATTGTCAGTGTCAAACTAAAAATAATTCACTAACAGCTACTTTCTCGAATAAAAATAGAAATATGTTGATTTACTCAGAAGCAACGTTTCATATTCTGCATTTGCATTTTAGCCAACACTCCAGACCACGCCCCTTTATCGTTTTAAAGAGCAGTAAAAAAGGCTTTCTTTTTATCTGAATATGTTGGAAATGTGAAACTTTTAGTGACACACTTTTACAGCTAAAATAACCAACATATATCAAATCTAAAAACTAAATGCATTATAAGCAACAATAAACTCTACCACAATATTATCCTCAACAGTTTTAGTTTGTTTTAAACAAGTATAAAAATAAAAAAGCAAACTAGTTCTTCAGACATGCTGAAAAACATTTTCTAGTAGATTGTTAAGAAAGGCAAATTGGAGTCCCAACATCATTACGTTTCAGCTTGAGCTGAAGAAAAGCATTAAAAATAAAGACCTCTGTAAATGCTACAAGGAAATAAATAAACCCCTAGAGTTATGTGATTCTATCAAATGAGAGAAACAGAAAACTAAGGTCCACACTGTGTAAAGCGTTCATAATAAAACTCCTTGATTTAAAGAGACTGAATCTGATTGGACAGCCATGCACACTGTTGCAGCCAATCAGAGCACAGGGCACATCCAGCGCAAGGTGGAGGCTGTTCAAAGTACAGTGCAGCTGACTGTGACCAGCATCTGTGTCACTGCTGCTCTTTTTTTAACACTTTAAACATGCTAAATAGTTTGAAGATTCAAAGTAAGGCACAAAATGTTGCTAGATATCGTATTTAGAGAAGAAAAACTGACTTAGAAACAACTTTTATGGCGTTAAAACGGGAGAAATGCTGTCATAATCTGTAGTGAAAAAAATAACGATTTTCTTACCTTGGCTCTTCACAGAGTATGGCTGGTACTGGGGGGCCTTCACCAACTTCTTCACCACATAGCCCTTACCATGGGCTGCCGTGGAGGCCACCATAAAGAGGAGGATGCACGCTACACGTATGTCCATCTTGCAAAGTCAAACCTGCCGGAAAAAAAACAAAACAAAACAAGGAGGCAGTCAGCACAACCACTCTCAAGGTACACAGTTTCAGCAAGCTTTCTCTCTAGTTTGGAGCTACTTTACAGGGCTTGAAAACTTTCTGAGTAACTGAACAGTCTATAGCTTTAGAAATACCCAATGTATAATACATATAAAAATATAAAAACAAAAGTTAGGGTAACAGGAGGGCATACAAAGTCAGTCTGAGCATCCTGAATCCTACAGGACTCTCCCTAATGTGACAGAGAAAACTCAAAGTCAGCCAGAATCTGCCTCCCTTTCCCAGCCTGCCACAGGAACAACACAGGCCTAGAAAGAGCCTGGATGTTGACTACACTCCTCCAGAGTTAGGGCTGTTTGAAGGGGAAGAGAAAACACACGTACCAGCATCCAAGAGGGAAAAAAAATTATCAATCTCTTCAGCACCAGTGAGCCCCTGATGCTGCTGTATATCCTTAGGGTAGGAGCACAACTGAGGATATGCTGTCCTCCAGTACAGTGATGAGGGTATTTATACTATATCTACCCCTCGCATCATTAAGAAAAAAAAGAAAAGCCCCCACCATGCAAGTACCTCCCTCCTCCGAGCTAGGCTGTAATTAGCAGACAGATCTGCCCAAAGCGGGCATGTCACATCAGGGGTGCCTCTGTGTCTTGACTATCCAGACACATGATTATCACTTATTTCAGTCTTTCTTCTGAACTAGAAAATAATCATGTTTGCAGCAACAAAATAAATGTTTGAAAGCCAAGCAAAGAACACAAACATGCATGGTGGGAGGAATCGACTTAATCAAAGAACACCTTTACTTTTTCAGGCTTTTTATACACTTAAATGTTGACAGTTTTAAGCAAAATTCAACATTTTTATTGCTCAGGATATGTTTATACACATGTTTTCTTTAAAAAGTCTTATTCTTTTATGATATAATAGTTGTTCAAATACGACAACTTCTAAAATAGTCCAACCAAATCTGTGAAAAAACAACTTGAAGTGGCACCTGTGTTGCCTGTACAAAGCTTGCATTGAGGATGTACAGCACCAGACTCATCTGCAAATTTACATTTTGTCCAGCCGGCTGCAGGAGACTTGCCTTTACTTTTCCTGACTGTCTGGGCCCCTGCACGCCTGCCATGATAAGGTAAACAAGGGAAGTGGTGGGGAAGGGTTGTCCAGAGTGCCATGCATGAAAGGTAGCGTGGAGCTGAGCCTACTTGGATTGAAAGCAAATAAATGTGTCTATTTTTTGATGTAGTTGCATTATTTAAGGGATTCACAGATTTAGTTTTGTACATTTCCTGAGTGTTACTTGGTCAGCTTGCCATTTTGGACAAAGGGGTCTTTATTTCAGCCTTTATTTTAAGATGAACACTTTCTCTTAAGTTGTGTTCTTTTGCAACTTTCTCACCCTCAACACAGCTAATAAAAACTATATAAGGAGCCACTGGAAAAGACATTTGAGCTAGTTTCTGTGCAGCCTTTTGAAATCAACCCAGCCCCTCATAAACAGTACTGATGTTTGGACAGCAGAGGGCAGGTTTTCACTGTTGCAAAGCCGTCTCCATGCATGGACCAATATCAGGCCGCTGCTGCCGCTACTGCAGAGAAGGCGCCATGCCCCTGTGGTCACTTGTTATTTTTGGTCCCCGCTGTGCATATACATCATCAGAGGGTTTCAGGCCGATTCCTACAATTACAGCTAGCTTCTGTCATGATGCTGTATTTCCTCAATCAGCACTATCCTCCAGTATTATCCTCCCTCGCCCTCCACCTTGCCCTGCTTACTCTGAGATCCTCCAACTGTAATTTCTCAGTTTCAGCCCAGCCACATCGGAAATGCATACACCCAAATAATCACATGTTCTCAAACACACAAGTGGTCATAAACGATGTGTAGGGTACTGTGGATCCCAATCCCAGGATCTTCCCTGAACATGGGACCATGTATGGTACATCCTGTGCACCCATAATGCACATACATACTGCTGACAACATGAGTACATTTGCAGAAAAAAATGATGAAGCGTTGCTGGGTTGAGGGTCCTCACCAAGTTTCTATATGTGGCGTTTACAACACGTGAGTTTGACAGGCGTCTTTCACCAGAGCTATAATTAAGATTCTTAAACATGGAACTCGTTTGAACCTTTTTTTTTTTCTGTAAATTAAACCAAATTATCTGCAATTTTCTAAAGTGCTACCTTCTCTGGTTTCAAGCACTTAATCATGTTTGGCAAGCATTGTTTAAGTTTGTACTTCAAATCTAATTTGTGATCTTCACTTCCAAATGTTTGAAATTCTCCCGTAACCAAGACAGGGGTGATATAGCTGACAGCAAAAGGTGCAGACTACCTGAGGCTGTGCGGCGGGAGAGAAATGCCACATTACCACTACACGTGCCATGTGCAACTCAAGCAGGAGGAAGATAAGTTTTGTGTCGTAAATGCAAGTCATATTTTTCAGCCTGATTGCACAGGTTTGGTCTTGCTTTATCAGCTCAAGTAAATCATGTTTATCCTGCATGTCTCCAGTTTGATTATGTGTTCCCTGTGCCACCAGTTTTTATACATTTTAGTTCAACTAAAACATTTAAAACTCTCTTTATGCTCGTGCCCTTAGAGGAGGCCAAGCTCTTCCAGACTTAGTCACATTTAGATGAAATGACAGAGCAAGAGAGGGTGGAGTTTTATTTGTTTATAGGTTCCAATGATTTCAGTTTATTCATTTTATTTTCCAAACCTTCTGCAGCCGAACCAGTGCAAAAGAACAATGATTCATGTCTTTATCCGTTAAAAAAAAAAAGAACCACATTCTGCATCTGCATGAGAGCTTGGGAAGAGGCAGTAAAGTTTATGCTGAGCCTTGGAACCAAAGTGTACTTTGGCTGGAGGAAGACTTGAATTAACCGAGTAATTTGGATGTTGTTTATAACCTTGCAGCACATTTCTTTTTAATTCTCTCAACAGTCAACACGCCTCTGCACTTGTTTGTGAAGAACTCTGTGTCCTTGTGCTCATGGTGGCGGAATTGAGGGCTGTGAAAGTGCACGGCAGGGCGCTCTCTGCTCAGCTCATTACAGCGCCGCGGCAGCAGCTTGATGTGGTCGACAGGCTTCATTGTAATAACCATTAGGAATTAGGTTAACAGCCTTCAAGCTGACGTCGCTTCGCTCTCTAATTGTTAAGAGACCCTCACTGTAAAACACGCACATGCTTTCATTTTCATGTCACTTACTTAATATATGACTTAAATGTTTTACTGAATTTAGAAATAAAAAGAGTCATTATGAAGATGACACACCCAAAGTCCCAGAGAGCCTCACAGTCTCAAAATGATGCCCCATTTGGGTTTTTACGTGTTTTTGTGATAGTTGGTGTCAGTGGTGAAAAGTATATTTACTCAATTGTATTATTTTCAGGTACTTGCACTTGTCCACTATGCATCAAAAATAAATGGCATCACATTTACAGCATTTAAAAGCTTTAGATCATGTGCAGATTCAGATAACTCAATGTATTATTATAGAAAAAGCTTTAAATTAGGCCCCGCCTGAAACACTAAAGTGATTCTTACACAATGAAGAACCAGTCAATATAAAACATATTAAAATGTATTTGAGCTGGAGCACTATAAAGCCTAATGGTTATGTTGCGCGCCTCAAGTACAGAGGCTGTAGTCGTCTTTTCAGCGGCTGTGGGTTCAAATCCGACCTCGGTTCTTTGATGCATGTCACCCCCGACTCTCTTCTCCCTGCATTTCCTGTCTCTCTTCAGCTGTCCTATCAAATAGAGACAAAGAGGCCCAAGAAATAAAACAAAAAAAGAGTCCAAGGCACGACATCTTACTTTTTTTGTATTCATGACTTTTTTGCTTTCTAATGTTTTATACCGTATTTATCATATTTAACATTTAAGTGCATTTTGAAGAGTCTTTATTTTAATCTTTAGTGGTTTTAGACTCCAGTGGACTTTTATCTATTGTTACCAGTTTTTTATGGTTTATAAGTTGGAATGAGCTGTTTCTTTTCTTTTCCATTTGACCAAGGAAAAAGTCTCCTCCAGGTCAATAAAGTATATCTTATCTAAAAGATAAATCAACTAATTGATTGATCCATAAAAGGAAAATGAATCACTGTTAATTTTGACTCTTGAATCAACGATTTGCTGCTTTTCATTGTTATTCATAAACAGTCTTTGGTTTTGGACTGTCAATAAGACAAAAGAAACAAACAGAAGACGTTGCTTCCCCCACATTAAAAAAACAAAAACATTTTATAGTCTTGAAGGTTGACTGAAATATCGTGAAAATATTGGTCAAATAAGTCCAAATTGAATAAAAGGGGGTTTCAATGAGCTTTTACAGAAGTGAAAGATTTCTTTCTAAGAATTATTTTTGGACTTTTGCTTTTATTTGATGTGATAGTGGAAAGAGTAGGAAATCAGGAGAGAGGGAGGAGAATGACATGCGGGAAAGGAGCCACAGGTCGGACTTGAACCCAGGCCATCCGCTCTATAGTTTCCATACATGGGGCATGACCTAACCGCTAGGTCATCTGTGCCACACAAAAGTCGAATTTTAAATGCAAACCTTGTACTTCCAAGTCTTCCACCACTGGTACATATTAAATGGATGAACCTGTAAAATGTATAGAATCTTATACATGAAAGAATTGGAAAAAATATATGAAAATACAAGCATGGGAAGTGGTGACGGTGCAGATTTCATACGTTGGCTCCCTGAGGTCCTCCTTGTTGTTAAAGGCCTTCAACTGTATCCAAGAGCAGCCTGTAGATTTCACAGAAATCCCCAGAAAGCACCGCTGGACACTGTTACTGACAATGTCACTGATGTTTTTACTGCGCAATGATAACAGAGCTCAGAATAAAGGTTTTTGCATTTTGTCTGTTTTTGGTCGCTCCGCTGGCCAGCAGTTGATGTTTCTGGTTTCTCCACGATGCCGACCGAGTCTCAACCCACACCCAAGAGGAGAACATAATTGGTGGTTGATGTAAGGGGACCGAAAGCGAGCACGTGAGTTAAGCTACAGCTAAAGATACACCATCATGGCTGGGATACAAATTTAATGTTTCAATAAACTCCACGGACCACTAAGAGCTACTTTAAACTTTATGAATGGCAGACTTGACGGGGGCCATTGCGAGTGATTGGCGCAGAAATTACAGGGTCTCGAAAACAAACAGGCACCCAAATGGAGCCGGAAGTGTAAAAGTAACTGAAAAATGGTGGTGGTAGCTTTTGGGGTAGGGCTAATGTATGGGAGGTCACCAGTTTGAAACCCCAGAATTACAGGAAGATGATGGAGGAGGGATGAGAAAGTTAGGACTTGATATTACTCCCCTTCTCTGAGGTGTGAACGCATGGAGCTGCAGCAAACAGCTAAACATCAGAGCAACACAAGAAAGCAACTTTACAGAGTTTTATTCTTTATAGGAAGGGTTGGGGAAAATTTTGGG